AGTGTAGTAGGTGTATTAGTGTAGTAGTAATAGCAGTAGTAGTAGTAGTAGTAGTAGTAGTAGCAGTAGTAGTAGCAATAGTAGTAGTAGTAGTAATAATAGTAGTAGTAGTAGCAGCAGTAGTAGCAGTAGTAGTAGTGGCTGTATTAGTAGTAAGACTAATATTAGTAGTGGTTGTAGTGGCTGTATTAGTAGTAAGACTAATATTAGTAGTGGTTGTAGTGGCTGTATTAGTAGTAGTAGTAATATTAGTAGTGTGTTGTAGTGGCTGTATTAGTAGTAGTAGTAATATTAGTAGTGGTTGTAGTGGCTGTATTAGTAGTAGTAGTAATATTAGTAGTGGTTGTAGCTCCACTTGAAGCAAAGAGGAGTAACTAAGTCAGTAAACATGCCACAGTATTGGTCCTCACAAAGTTTGCTGCTTCAGTGTTTTTAGATATTTTTGTCAGATGTTTCTATGGTATACTGAAGTATAATTACAAGCATTCCATAAGTGTCAAAGGCTTTTATTGACAATTACATCAAGTTCTTTTTCAAGACCTCTGCAATCCGCCCTGGCATGCTGTCAATTAACTTCTGGCCCACATCCTGACTGATGGCAGCCCATTCTTGCATAATCAATGCTTGGAGTTTGTCAGAATTTGTGGATTTTTGTTTGTCCACCCACCTCTTGAGGATCGACCACAAGTTCTCAATGGGATTAAGGTCTGGGGAGTTTCCTGGCCACTTTTGCCTTATGGCAAGGTGCTCCATCATGCTGGAAAAGGCATTGTTTGTCACCAAACTGTTCTTGGATGGTTGGGAGAAGTTGCTCTCGGAGGATGTGTTGGTACCATTCTTTATTCATGGCTGTGTTCTTAGGCACAATTGTGAGTGAGCCCACTCCCTTGGCTGAGAAGCAACCCCACACATGAATGGTCTCAGGATGCTTTACTGTTGGCATGACACAGGACTGATGGTAGCGCTCACCTCGTCTTCTATGGACAAGCTTTTTTCCGGATGCCCCAAACAATCGGAAAAGGGATTCATTCATTCATCCTGGAGAGAAGTGGCTTCCTCGCTGCCCTTCTTGACACCAGGCCATCCTCCAAAAGTCTTTGCCTCACTGTGCGTGCAGATGCACACACCTGCCTGCTGCCATTCCTGAGCAAGCTCTGCACTGGTGGTGCCCAGATCCCGCAGCTGAATCAACTTTAGGAGACGGTCCTGGCGCTTGCTGGACTTTCTTGGGCGCCCTGAAGCCTTCTTCACAACAATTGAACCTCTCTCCTTGAAGTTCTTGATGATCCAATAAATGGTTGATTTAGGTGCAATCTTACTAGCAGCAATATCCTTGCCTGTGAAGCCCTTTTTGTGCAAAGCAATGATGACGGCACGTGTTTCCTTGCAGGTAACCATGGTTAACAGAGGAAGAACAATGATTTCAAAAACCACCCTCCTTTTAAAGCTTCCAGTCTGTTATTCTAACTCAATCAGCATGACAGAGTGATCTCCAGCCTTGTCCTCGTCAACACTCTCACCTGTGTTAACGAGAGAATCACTGACATGATGTCAGCTGGTCCTTTTGTGGCTGGGATGAAATGCAGTGGAAATGTTTTTTTGGGGATTAAGTTCCTTTTCATGGCAAAGAGGGACTTTGCAATTAATTGCAATTCATCTGATCACTCTTCATAACATTCTGGAGTATATGCAAATTGCCATCATAAAAACCGAGGCAGCAGACTTTGTGAAAATTAATATTTGTGTCATTCTCAAAACTTTTGACCACAACTGTACTATCTATTACAACAGTACCTATAACCTACTATCTATTACAACAGTAAGAGAATGGAAGATATAATAGTAGGTGAAAGTGTTACGTCTCTGGTGTTTTGTAAAAGGCTAATAACTGTGTAGAATTACCTCCTGTGCGTCTCTGGCTGCCTTGGCGTCATCTTCATTGTAGCGATTGCAGTTGTACCTGCAGGACATCATTACGGCTGCTTTAGATATCAGGAGGTAGGTGTATAATACTGCAGGACATCATTACGGCTGCTTTAGATATCAGGAGGTAGGTGTATAATACTGCAGGACATCATTATGGCTGCTTTAGATATCAGGAGGTAGGTGTACAATACTGCAGGACATCATTACGGCTGCTTTAGATATCAGGAGGTAGGTGTATAATACTGCAGGACATCATTATGGCTGCTTTAGATATCAGGAGGTAGGTGTATAATACTGCAGGACATCATTACGGCTGCTTTAGATATCAGGAGGTAGGTGTATAATACTGCAGGACACCATTACGGCTGCTTTAGATATCAGGAGGTAGGTGTATAATACTGCAGGACACCATTACGGCTGCTTTAGATATCAGGAGGTAGGTGTATAATACTGCAGGACACCATTACGGCTGCTTTAGATATCAGGAGGTAGGTGTATAATACTGCAGGACATCATTATGGCTGCTTTAGATATCAGGAGGTAGGTGTATAATACTGCAGGACACCATGACGGCTGCTTTAGATATCAGGAGGTAGGTGTATAATACTGCAGGACACCATGACGGCTGCTTTAGATATCAGGAGGTAGGTGTATAATACTGCAGGACACCATTACGGCTGCTTTAGATATCAGGAGGTAGGAGTATAATACTGCAGGACACCATGACGGCTGCTTTAGATATCAGGAGGTAGGTGTATAATACTGCAGGACACCATGACGGCTGCTTTAGATATCAGGAGCTGAGGTGTATAATACTGCAGGACATCATTACGTCTGCTTTAGATATCAGGAGGTAGGTGTATAATACTGCAGGACATCATTACGTCTGCTTTAGATATCAGGAGGTAGGTGTATAATACTGCAGGACACCATTACGGCTGCTTTAGATATCATGAGGTAGGTGTATAATACTGCAGGACATCATTACGTCTGCTTTAGATATCAGGAGGTAGGTGTACAATACTGCAGGACACCATTACGGCTGCTTTAGATATCAGGAGGTAGGTGTATAATACTGCAGGACATCATTACGTCTGCTTTAGATATCAGGAGGTAGGTGTATAATACTGCAGGACACCATGACGGCTGCTTTAGATATCAGGAGGTAGGTGTATAATACTGCAGGACATCATTACGGCTGCTTTAGATATCAGGAGGTAGGTGTACAATACTGCAGGACACCATGACGGCTGCTTTAGATATCAGGAGGTAGGTGTATAATACATACACTCACCGGACAGTTTATTAGTTTACCCATTCACAAAAATGGTTCGCTCCTAAAGACAGTGAGTCACGTGGCTTGCTATATAAAGCAGGCAGACAGGCATCGAGGCATTCAGTTACTGTTCGATTGAACGTCAGAATGGGCAAAACGAGTGACCTAAGCGGCTTTGAGCGTGGTTTGATCGTTGGTACCAGACGCGCCGGATCAAGACTTTCAGAAACGCCTTCCTGGGCTTTTCACGCACGACAGTGTCTAGGGTTTATTGAGAATGGTGCGACAAACAAAAAAAACATCCAGTCAGCGGCAGTCCCGTGGGAGAAAACAGGAGAATGGCAAAAAAAACAGGAGAATGGCAAAAATCATGCAAGCTAACAGGCGGGCCACAAACAGGCAAATAATGGTCCAGTACAACAGGTGTGTGCAAAATTTTGGAACGCACACCTCGTTGATCCCTTGTCACGGATGGGCTATTGCAGCAGACGGCCACACAACTCCTATCAGCTAAAAACAAGAAGAAGCATCTCCAAAAGGGTACGCGATCACCAACACTATTTAGTGGAAAAATAACATCTGGAACATGACAGCGAGTTCAGTTTACTTGAGTGGCCTGCTCAGTCCCCAGACCTCACCCCAATAGAGCATCTTTGGGATGAGATGGAACGGGCTGTTGGCAGCATGAATGTACCGCCGTCCAATCTGCAGCAACTGCGTGCTGCCATCGCGTCAGCATGGATCAACATCCCTGTGGAACGTTTCCGACACCTTGTAGAATGCCCCGAAGAATTCTGGCTGTTCTGGAGGCGAAAGGGGGGTCCGACCCGGGTACTAGATGGGTGTACCTAATGTATATACAGTACGCCATTTAGCAGATGCTTTCATCCAAAGTGACTTACAGTCATGCGTGCAATGTATGGGTGGTCTCGCCGTACTCTACCAACTGAGCTACAGAGGACCAGGAAGTAGGTACACGGTGATCTGTTAGGGTGAATGTGTATGCTTCTCCAGACTCACCATGCAGAGCCGTGTGGCTCCCAGGGCCCAAGGCAGACCCAACAGAACTCAGCTTTACAGCTCTGGTTCCGACACACCATGTGGTTGCAGCCGCCGTCCTTCTCAATGGTCACATGACACTTTGGACACTCCTGTGGAAAAAAGTGTGACGAGGACAGTGAACCCCCCTAGTGGAGCGCAGCCAATACCAAGGTATGAAAACCTCGATCTAGATCACATTGACCTGGGCCCGTATTCATACAGCGTCTCAGAGTAGGACTGTTGATCCAGGACCAGGTCCCCCCTGTCAATTCACTATAATCTAAAAAGGCTAAAATTATCTTGGATCAGTATTCCTAGTCTGAGACGCTTTTATAAATACAGACCATGATGTTTGTTATGTAGAGAGTTCTATAGAACTGGACTGGTACCATATATTGGTATTAGGTGTTATGTAGCGTTGTAACCATACCTTGGTATTAGGTTATGTAGCTTTATAACCATACCTTGGTATTAGGTTATGTAGCGTTATAACCATACCTTGGTATTAGGTTATGTAGCGTTATAACCATACCTTGGTATTAGGTTATGTAGCTTTATAACCATACCTTGGTATTAGGTTATGTAGCGTTATAACCATACCTTGGTATTAGGTTATGTAGCGTTATAACCATACCTTGGTATTAGGTTATGTAGCGTTATAACCATACCTTGGTATTAGGTTATGTAGCGTTATAACCATACCTTGGTATTAGGTTATGTAGCGTTATAACCATACCTTGGTATTATGCATTGTTATCTAGCGTTATAACCATACCTTGGTATTAGCTGCGATCCAGTTGGATGTTTCACTGTCATCGTCACACTTTTTAATCCACTTTCTCAGCCACTGTAGGACAGTAGAGCAACAGAGGTGATAGTCATCCAGCAAGACACACATACACCGTGTACAAAACATTAGGAACACCTGCTCTTTCCATGACAGACTGACCAGGTGAATCCAGGTGAAAGCTATGATCCCTTATTGATGTCACCTGTTACATCCACTTCAATCAGTGTAGATGAAGGGGAGGAGACGGGTTAAATAAGGATTTTTAAGCCTTGAGACAATTGAGACATGGATTGTGGATGTGTGCCATTCAGAGGGTGAATGGGCAAGACAAAATATTTAAGTAGCCATGAATAGGGTATGGTAGTAGGTGCCAGGCACACCGGTTTGAGTGTGTCAAGAACTGCAACACTGCTGGGTTTTTCCACGCGCAACAGTTTCCCGTGTGTATCATCACCCAAAGGACATCCAGCCAACTTGACACAATACCATCCTTTTGGAACGCTTACGACACCTTGAATAGAGCCCATGCCCCGACGAATTGAGGCTGTTCTGAGGGCAAAAGTGGAGTGGTGCAACTCCATATTAGCAAGGTGTTCCTAATGTTTTGTACATGTGTCCTAATATGAAGTCCTGTCGGAGGACAGAACCTAGCCCTATTTCATGTCTCCTGCACATACCTTACACTTGACAGGATCGTGCCAGTTCTCCCCACAGTTGAAGCTAGAATGACAAAACGCGTCCCATTAGTGGTTCCCGCTCAGCCCAGTCAAAACTGTTCGCTGCTCTGGCACCCCAATGGTGGAACAAGCTCCTCACGACGCCAGGACAGCGGAGTCACTCACCACCTTCCGGAGACATTTGAACCCAACCTCTTTAAGGAATACCTGGGATAGGATAAAGGAATCCTTCTACCCCCCCCCCAATTGTAAAGTGGTTATCCCACTGGCTATAGGGTGAACGCCCAATTTGTGAGTCGCTCTGGCTAAGAGCGTCTGCTAAATGACGCTAATGTGCCCTTGAGCAAGGCACTTAACCCTAATTGCTCCTGTAAGTCGCTCTGGATAAGAGCGTCTGCTAAATGACTAAAATGTAAATGTAAAGTATATATTGTTCATTCTCTCTCGTGTTCTAGTTGCAGGGATTAGGTCAAAGGTTGCCAACAGGAAGCTATGATCCCAGAGGAGCCTGTTGTGACTGGTGGGTAGCAGCTACTCATTTTACATTTTAGTCATTTAGCAGACGCTCTTATCCAGAGCGACTTACAGTTAGTGAGTGCATACATTATCATACTGGCCCCCCGTGGGAAACGAACCCACAACCCTGGCGTTGCAAGCGCCATGCTCTACCAACTGAGCTACACGGGACTCCATGGGGAGGGGAGGAAACCACAAGGCTGCCTGGCTCTCATACACACTCCTTTTGGGTTCCGACATATCCTGCCATATCCCGTGTCTTGGACTAACCCTAACCCAGCCATATCCCGTGTCTTGGACTAACCCTAACCCAGCCATATCCCGTGTCTTGGACTAACCCTAACCCAGCCATATCCCGTGTCTTGTACTAACCCTAACCCAGCCATATCCCGTGTCTTGGACTAACCCAGCCATATCCCGGTCTTGTACTAACCTAACCAGCCATATCCCGTGTCTTGTACTAACCCTAACCCAGCCATATCCGTGTCTTGTACTAACCCTAACCCAGCCATATCCCGTGTCTTGGACTAACCCTAACCCAGCCATATCCCGTGTCTTGTACTAACCCTAACCCAGCCATATCCCGTGTCTTGGACTAACCCAGCCATATCCCGTGTCTTGTACTAACCCTAACCCAGCCATATCCCGTGTCTTGTACTAACCCTAACCCAGCCATATCCCGTGTCTTGTACTAACCCTAACCCAGCCATATCCTGTGTCTTGGACTAACCCTAACCCAGCCATATCCCGTGTCTTGGACTAACCCTAACCCAGCCATATCCCGTGTCTTGGACTAACCCTAACCCAGCCATATCCCGTGTTTGGACTAACCCTAACCCAGCCATATCCCGTGTCTTGGACTAACCCTAACCCAGCCATATCCCGTGTCTTGGACTAACCCTAACCCAGCCATATCCCGTGTCTTGGACTAACCCTAACCCAGCCATATCCCGTGTCTTGGACTAACCCTAACCCAGCCATATCCTGCCATATCCCGTGTCTTGGACTAACCCTAACCCAGCCATATCCCGTGTCTTGGACTAACCCTAACCCAGCCATATCCCGTGTCTTGCACTAACCCAGCCATATCCCGTGTCTTGGACTAACCCAGCCATATCCCGTGTCTTGGACTAACCCTAACCCAGCCATATCCCGTGTCTTGGACTAACCCTAACCCAGCCATATCCCGTGTCTTGAGACATGTCTTGGCTAATCCAGCCATATCCCGTGTCTTGGCTAATCCAGCCATATCCCGTGTCTTGGCTAAACCAGCCATATCCCGTGTCTTGGACTAACCCTAACACAGCCATATCCTGTGAATTGAGACATGTCTTGAATAACCCAGCCATATCCTGTGTCTTGGACTAACCATAACCCAGCCATATCCTGTGTATTGGACTAACCCAGCCATATCCTGTGAATTGAGACATGTCTTGAATAACCCAGCCATATCCCGTGTCTTGAGACATGTCGAGTAACCCTAACCCAGCCATCTCCTGTGTCTTGAGCTTGACTAACCCTAACCCAGCCATCTCCTGTGTCTTGAGCTTGACTAACCCTAACCCAGCCATCTCCTGGGTCTTGAGCTTGACTAACCCTAACCCAGCCATCTCCTGGGTCTTGAGCTTGACTAACCCTAACCCAGCCATCTCCTGTGTCTTGAGCTTGACTAACCCTAACCCAGCCATCTCCTGTGTCTTGAGCTTGACTAACCCTAACCCAGCCATCTCCTGTGTCTTGAGCTTGACTAACCCTAACCCAGCCATCTCCTGGGTCTTGAGCTTGACTAACCCTAACCCAGCCATCTCCTGGGTCTTGAGCTTGACTAACCCTAACCCAGCCATCTCCTGGGTCTTGAGCTTGACTAACCCTAACCCAGCCATCTCCTGGGTCTTGAGCTTGACTAACCCTAACCCAGCCATCTCCTGGGTCTTGAGCTTGACTAACCCTAACCCAGCCATCTCCTGTGACTTGAGCTTGACTAACCCTAACCCAGCCATCTCCTGGGTCTTGACACATTGTTGTTCTGAAGGTGTGCCTTAAGACATCTGAAGACACTGGCAGTGGGGCTTTAAGGAGTACACTGTATTATGTCATTTGATAGTCAAGAGAGGCCAAGGCAGATCATTTAGGAGAGTTGTCTTACCAGAACTGTCGACCACACTTGCACCTGACAGGCTTGGCGTCGGGGTAGTGGACTTTGACAACGTGATGGCAGTCTGGTGCAGGGCACCACTTCAACAGTCTATTACACTGGGAGATTAGGACAGTTAGACACATCCTGTTATCCAATCTTATTCAAATATTCAAATTAATGCAATAAATTCAATGCAGGTGCACACATTGAATGTAGTAGTGGTGTAGACTAGTCTAATGCACATTGAATTCATTGCATTTCTTATTTTTCCACTATGAACACACAAATAACGTAGAAGGTAAAACAAGCTTACCTCTACAAAACTATTGGTAATTAAATGTTGGTACTTGAGCTTCACTTTGGAGTCGGTTATCAGGCGCCTTGAGGGGGAATTACAAAACACACTGTTATTACAATCCATGATGTCATGACAAAATAAGCTTTTCCTGAAGAACATACATCTACTACCAATATGGGGCTTTTGCTATAATGCTGCAGAAATGGATTGAGTCGGCCTCACTAATGGAGGAACAACTACATCTAGGTTGTTAGGTAAATGGCTACATGAACGTTGTATGGGTGTTGAGGCCTGCTGTAACCGGACTGTCAACACTTAGTCAACAACGTCCTGTATCGAGATCAGCACGTAGCGTAGGTTAAGACTATTACTGTAGTGAGATCAGGATGTAGCGTAGGTTAAGACTACTACTGTAGTGAGATCAGGATGTAGCGTAGGTTAAGACTACTACTGTAGTGAGATCAGGATGTAGGTTAAGACTATTACTGTAGTGAGATCAGGATGTAGGTTAAGACTATTACTGTAGTGAGATCAGGATGTAGCGTAGGTTAAGACTACTACTGTAGTGAGATCAGGATGTAGGTTAAGACTATTACTGTAGTGAGATCAGGATGTAGGTTAAGACTATTATTGTAGTGAGATCAGGATGTAGCGTAGGTTAAGACTATTACTGTAGTGAGATCAGGATGTAGCGTAGGTTAAGACTATTACTGTAGTGAGATCAGGATGTAGGTTAAGACTACTACTGTAGTGAGATCAGGATGTAGGTTAAGACTATTACTGTAGTGAGATCAGGATGTAGCGTAGGTTAAGACTACTACTGTAGTGAGATCAGGATGTAGGTTAAGACTATTACTGTAGTGAGATCAGGATGTAGGTTAAGACTATTATTGTAGTGAGATCAGGATGTAGCGTAGGTTAAGACTATTACTGTAGTGAGATCAGGATGTAGCGTAGGTTAAGACTATTACTGTAGTGAGATCAGGATGTAGGTTAAGACTACTACTGTAGTGAGATCAGGATGTAGGTTAAGACTATTACTGTAGTGAGATCAGGATGTAGCGTAGGTTAAGACTACTACTGTAGTGAGATCAGGATGTAGGTTAAGACTATTACTGTAGTGAGATCAGGATGTAGGTTAAGACTATTATTGTAGTGAGATCAGGATGTAGCGTAGGTTAAGACTATTACTGTAGTGAGATCAGGATGTAGCGTAGGTTAAGACTATTACTGTAGTGTGATCAGGATGTAGGGTAGGTTAAGACTATTACTGTAGTGAGATCAGGATGTAGCGTAGGTTAAGACTATTACTGTAGTGAGATCAGGATGTAGGTTAAGACTATTACTGTAGTGAGATCAGGATGTAGCGTAGGTTAAGACTATTACTGTAGTAAGATCAGGATGTAGCGTAGGTTAAGACTATTACTGTAGTGAGATCAGGATGTAGCGTAGGTTAAGACTATTACTGTAGTGAGATCAGGATGTAGCGTAGGTTAAGACTATTACTGTAGTGAGATCAGGATGTAGGTTAAGACTACTACTGTAGTGAGATCAGGATGTAGGGTAGGTTAAGACTATTACTGTAGTGAGATCAGGATGTAGCGTAGGTTAAGACTATTACTGTAGTGAGATCAGGATGTAGGTTAAGACTATTACTGTAGTGAGATCAGGATGTAGCGTAGGTTAAGACTATTACTGTAGTGAGATCAGGATGTAGGGTAGGTTAAGACTATTACTGTAGTGAGATCAGGATGTAGGGTAGGTTAAGACTACTACTGTAGTGAGATCAGGATGTAGCGTAGGTTAAGACTATTACTGTAGTGAGATCAGGATGTAGCGTAGGTTAAGACTATTACTGTAGTGAGATCAGGATGTAGCGTAGGTTAAGACTATTACTGTAGTGAGATCAGGATGTAGGGTAGGGTACGATAACTAATGTAGTGAGATCAGGATGTAGGTTAAGACTATAATGTAGTGAGATCAGGATGTAGGGTAGGGTACGATAACTACTGTAGTGAGATCAGGATGTAGGTTAAGACTATAAATGTAGTGAGATCAGGATGTAGCGTAGGTTAAGACTATACTGTAGTGAGATCAGGATGTGGTTGAGACTATTACTGTAGTGAGATCAGGATGTAGGTTAAGACTATTACTGTAGTGAGATCAGGATGTAGGTTAAGACTATTACTGTAGTGAGATCAGGATGTAGGGTAGGTTAAGACTATTACTGTAGTGAGATCAGGATGTAGGGTAGGTTAAGACTACTACTGTAGTGAGATCAGGATGTAGGGTAGGTTAAGAATACTACTGTAGTGAGATCAGGATGTAGGGTTAGACTACTACTGTAGTGAGATCAGGATGTAGGGTAGGTTAAGACTATTACTGTAGTGAGATCAGGATGTAGAGTAGGTTAAGACTATTACTGTAGTGAGATCAGGATTGTAGCGTAGGTTGAGACTATTACTGTAGTGAGATCAGGATGTAGGTTAAGACTATTACTGTAGTGAGATCAGGATGTAGGTTAAGACTATTACTGTAGTGAGATCAGGATGTAGGGTAGGTTAAGACTACTACTGTAGTGAGATCAGGATGTAGGGTTAGACTACTACTGTAGTGAGATCAGGATGTAGGGTAGGTTAAGACTATTACTGTAGTGAGATCAGGATGTAGCGTAGGTTAAGACTATTACTGTAGTGAGATCAGGATGTAGCGTAGGTTAAGACTATTACTGTAGTGAGATCAGGATGTAGCGTAGGTTAAGACTATTACTGTAGTGAGATCAGGATGTAGCGTAGGTTAAGACTATTACTGTAGTGAGATCAGGATGTAGGGTAGGGTACGATAACTAATGTAGTGAGATCAGGATGTAGGTTAAGACTATAATGTAGTGAGATCAGGATGTAGGGTAGGGTACGATAACTACTGTAGTGAGATCAGGATGTAGGTTAAGACTATAAATGTAGTGAGATCAGGATGTAGCGTAGGTTAAGACTATTACTGTAGTGAGATCAGGATGTAGGTTGAGACTATTACTGTAGTGAGATCAGGATGTAGGTTAAGACTATTACTGTAGTGAGATCAGGATGTAGGTTAAGACTATTACTGTAGTGAGATCAGGATGTAGGGTAGGTTAAGACTATTACTGTAGTGAGATCAGGATGTAGGGTAGGTTAAGACTACTACTGTAGTGAGATCAGGATGTAGGGTAGGTTAAGAATACTACTGTAGTGAGATCAGGATGTAGGGTTAGACTACTACTGTAGTGAGATCAGGATGTAGGGTAGGTTAAGACTATTACTGTAGTGAGATCAGGATGTAGAGTAGGTTAAGACTATTACTGTAGTGAGATCAGGATGTAGCGTAGGTTGAGACTATTACTGTAGTGAGATCAGGATGTAGGTTAAGACTATTACTGTAGTGAGATCAAGGATGTAGGTTAAGACTATTACTGTAGTGAGATCAGGATGTAGGGTAGGTTAAGACTACTACTGTAGTGAGATCAGGATGTAGGGTTAGACTACTACTGTAGTGAGATCAGGATGTAGGGTAGGTTAAGACTATTACTGTAGTGAGATCAGGATGTAGCGTAGGTTAAGACTATTACTGTAGTGAGATCAGGATGTAGCGTAGGTTAAGACTATTACTGTAGTGAGATCAGGATGTAGCGTAGGTTAAGACTATTACTGTAGTGAGGTCAGGATGTAGGGTAGGTTAAGACTATTACTGTAGTGAGATCAGGATGTAGGTTAAGACTATTACTGTAGTAAGATCAGGATGTAGGTTAAGACTATTAATGTAGTGAGATCAGGATGTAGCGTAGGTTAAGACTATTACTGTAGTGAGATCAGGATGTAGGTTAAGACTATTACTGTAGTAAGATCAGGATGTAGGTTAAGACTATTAATGTAGTGAGATCAGGATGTAGCGTAGGTTAAGACTATTACTGTAGTGAGATCAGGATGTAGGTTAAGACTATTACTGTAGTGAGATCAGGATGTAGGGTAGGTTAAGACTATTACTGTAGTGAGATCAGGATGTAGGTTAAGACTATTACTGTAGTAAGATCAGGATGTAGGTTAAGACTATTAATGTAGTGAGATCAGGATGTAGCGTAGGTTAAGACTATTACTGTAGTGAGATCAGGATGTAGGTTAAGACTATTACTGTAGTAAGATCAGGATGTAGGTTAAGACTATTAATGTAGTGAGATCCGGATGTAGGTTAAGACTATTGTGGTCCTCTGTAGCTCAGCTGGTAGAGCACGGCAATTGTAACGCCAAGGTAGTGGGTTCGATCCCGGGACCACCATACACAAAAAATGTATGCACGCATACTGTAAGTCTTGGATAAAAGCTTCGTCTGCTAAATGGCTATTATTATTATTATTATTATTATAATATTACTGTAGTGGACAGCTTTGAGTGTAGGTTAGATATTCCTGTATGAGATCAGGATTGTGGTTTAAACTATTACTGTAGTGAGTCAGATAGCGAGGTTAAGACTACTAGTATGACATCGGAGTAGGGTAGCTTAAGACTACTACTGTAATGAATCAGTGTAGTTAAGACTATTACTGTAGTGGATCAGGATGCTGGAGTTAGCTATACCTGTAGTGAGACAGGATGTAGGTTAAGGACTAACTGTAGTGAGATCGGATGTAGGGTAGGTTAAGAACTATTACTGTATGATCAGGATGTAGGTAGTTAAGACTATACTGTGTGAGATCAGGATTGCGTAGTTAAGACTATTACTAGTAGTGAGATCGAGGTAAGACTACTACTGTAGGAGATCAGCATTTGTAGCGTAGGTGTAAGATACTACTGTAGTGAGATCAGGATGTGGTTAAGACTATTACTGTAGTGAGATTCAGGATGTAGGGTAGGTTAAGACTTATGTACTGTTGAGGTTCAGGATGTAGGTTAAGACTATTACTGTAGTGAGATCAGGTGTTAGGGTAAGACTATTACTGTAGTGAGATCAGGATGTAGGTTTAAGACTTAATGTAGTGAGATCAGGATGTAGGTGGTTTTAAGACTATTACTGTCAGTGAGATCAGGATGTAGGTTAAGACTATTACTGTAGTGAGATCAGGATGTAGTGTAGGGTAAGATAACTACTGTAGTGAGATCAGGATGTAGGTTAAGACTATTACTGTAGTGAGATCAGGATGTAGCGTAGGTTAAGACTATTACTGTAGTGAGATCAGGATGTAGGGTAAGACTACTACTGTAGTGAGATCAGGATGTAGCGTAGGTTAAGACTATTACTGTAGTGAGATCAGGATGTAGGTTAAGACTATTACTGTAGTGAGATCAGGATGTAGCGTAGGTTAAGACTATTACTGTAGTGAGATCAGGATGTAGCGTAGGTTAAGACTACTACTGTAGTGAGATCAGGATGTAGGTTAAGCCTATTACTGTAGTGAGATCAGGATGTAGGGTAAGATAACTACTGTAGTGAGATCAGGATGTAGGTTAAGACTATAAATGTAGTGAGATCAGGATGTAGCGTAGGTTAAGACTATTACTGTAGTGAGATCAGGATGTAGCGTAGGTTAAGACTACTACTGTAGTGAGATCAGGATGTAGCGTAGGTTAAGACTATTACTGTAGTGAGATCAGGATGTAGGGTAAGACTATTACTGTAGTGAGATCAGGATGTAGGGTAGAGTAAGATAACTACTGTAGTGAGATCAGGATGTAGGTTAAGACTATTACTGTAGTGAGATCAGGATGTAGTGTAGGGTAAGATAACTACTGTAGTGAGATCAGGATGTAGGGTAAGACTTACTGTAGTGAGATCAGGATGTAGGTTAAGACTACTACTGTAGTGAGATCAGGATGTAGGTTAAGACTACTACTGTAGTGAGATCATGATGTAGGTTAAGACTACTACTGTAGTGAGATCAGGATGTAGGTTAAGACTACTACTGTAGTGAGATCAGGATGTAGGGTAGGTTAAGACTATTACTGTAGTGAGATCAGGATGTAGGGTAGGTTAAGACTTACTGTAGTGAGATCAGGATGTAGGGTAGGTTAAGACTATTACTGTAGTGAGATCAGGATGTAGGGTAGGTTAAGGACTATTACTGTAGTGAGATCAGGATGTAGGTTAAGACTATTACTGTAGTGAGATCAGGATTGTAGGGTAAGACTATTACTGTAGTGAGATCAGGATGTAGGTAGGTTAAGACTATTACTGTAGTGAGATCAGGATGTGCGTAGGTTAAGACTATTACTGTAGTGAGATCAGGATGTAGCGTAGGTTAAGACTATTACTGTAGTGAGATCAGGATGTAGGTATTAAGACTATTACTGTAGTGAGATCAGGAGTGGTAGGTTAAGACTATTACTGTAGTGAGATCAGGATGTAAGTTAAGACTATTACTGTAGTGAGATCAGGATGTAGGGTTAAGACTATACTGTAGTGAGATCAGGAGTAGCGTAGGTTAAGACTATACTGTAGTGAGATCATAGGTAAGACTATACTGTAGTGAGATCAGGATGTAGGTTAAGACTATTACTGTAGTGAGATCAGGATGTAGCGTAGGTTAAGACTATTACTGTAGTGAGATCAGGATGTAGCGTAGGTTAAGACTATTACTGTAGTGAGATCAGGATGTAGGTTTAAGACTATTACTGTAGTGAGATCAGGATGTAGGGTAGGTTAAGACTATTACTGTAGTGAGATCAGGATGTAGGTTAAGACTACTACTGTAGTGAGATCAGGATGTAGGGTAGGTTAAGACTATTACTGTAGTGAGATCAGGATGTAGGTTAAGACTATTACTGTAGTGAGATCAGGATGTAGGTTAAGACTACTACTGTAGTGAGATCATGATGTAGGTTAAGACTACTACTGTAGTGAGATCAGGATGCAGGGTAGGTTAAGACTATTACTGTAGTGAGATCAGGATGTAGGGTAGGTTAAGACTATTACTGTAGTGAGATCAGGATGTAGGTTAAGACTACTACTGTAGTGAGATCAGGATGTAGGTTAAGACTATTACTGTAGTGAGATCAGGATGTAGGGTAGGTTAAGACTATTACTGTAGTGAGATCAGGATGTAGGTTAAGACTACTACTGTAGTGAGATCAGGATGTAGGTTAAGACTATTACTGTAGTGAGATCAGGATGTAGGGTAGGTTAAGACTATTACTGTAGTGAGATCAGGATGTAGGGTAGGTTAAGACTACTACTGTAGTGAGATCAGGATGTAGCGTAGGTTAAGACTATTACTGTAGTGAGATCAGGATGTAGCGTAGGTTAAGACTATTACTGTAGTGAGATCATAGGTTAAGACTATTACTGTAGTGAGATCAGGATGTAGGTTAAGACTATTACTGTAGTGAGATCAGGATGTAGCGTAGGTTAAGACTATTACTGTAGTGAGATCAGGATGTAGCGTAGGTTAAGACTATTACTGTAGTGAGATCAGGATGTAGGGTAGGTTAAGACTATTACTCTAGTGAGATCAGGATGTAGGTTAAGACTATTACTTTAGTGAGATCAGGATGTAGGGTAGGTTAAGGCTATTACTGTAGTGAGATCAGGATGTAACATAGGTTAAGACTATTACTGTAGTGAGATCAGGATGTAGGTTAAGACTATTACTGTAGTGAGATCAGGATGTAGGGTAGGTTAAGACTATTACTGTAGTGAGATCAGGATGTAGGGTAGGTTAAGACTATTACTGTAGTGAGATCAGGATGTAGGGTAGGTTAAGACTACTACTGTAGTGAGATCAGGATGTAGCGTAGGTTAAGACTATTACTGTAGTGAGATCAGGATGTAGGTTAAGACTATTACTGTAGTGAGATCAGGATGTAGGGTAGGTTAAGACTATTACTGTAGTGAGATCAGGATGTAGGTTAAGACTATTACTGTAGTGAGATCAGGATGTAGCGTAGGTTAAGACTATTACTGTAGTGAGATCAGGATGTAGGTTAAGACTATTACTGTAGTGAGATCAGGATGTAGGGTAGGTTAAGACTACTACTGTAGTGAGATCAGGATGTAGGTTAAGACTATTACTGTAGTGAGATCAGGATGTAGGTTAAGACTATTACTGTAGTGAGATCAGGATGTAGCGTAGGTTAAGACTATTACTGTAGTGAGATCAGGATGTAGGTTAAGACTATTACTGTAGTGAGATCAGGATGTAGGGTAGGTTAAGACTACTACTGTAGTGAGATCAGGATGTAGCGTAGGTTAAGACTATTACTGTAGTGAGATCAGGATGTAGGTTAAGACTATTAATGTAGTGAGATCAGGATGTAGCGTAGGTTAAGACTATTACTGTAGTGAGATCAGGATGTAGGTTAAGACTATTACTGTAGTGAGATCAGGATGTAGGTTAAGACTTACTGTAGTGAGATCAGGATGTAGCGTAGGTTAAGACTATTACTGTAGTGAGATCAGGATGTAGGTTAAGACTACTACTGTAGTGAGATCAGGATGTAGGTTAAGACTATTACTGTAGTGAGATCAGGATGTAGCGTAGGTTAAGACTATTACTGTAGTGAGATCAGGATGTAGGTTAAGACTATTACTGTAGTGAGATCAGGATGTAGCGTAGGTTAAGACTATTACTGTAGTGAGATCAGGATGTAGGTTAAGACTATTACTGTAGTGAGATCAGGATGTAGCGTAGGTTAAGACTATTACTGTAGTGAGATCAGGATGTAGGGTAGGTTAAGACTATTACTGTAGTGAGATCAGGATGTAGGGTAGGTTAAGACTATTACTGTAGTGAGATCAGGATGTAGGGTAGGTTAAGACTATTACTGTAGTGAGATCAGGATGTAGGTTAAGACTACTACTGTAGTGAGATCAGGATGTAGGTTAAGACTATTACTGTGGTAGTGAGATCAGGATGTAGGTTAAGACTACTACTGTAGTGAGATCAGGATGTAGCGTAGGTTAAGACTATTACTGTAGTGAGATCAGGATGTAGGTTAAGACTATTACTGTAGTGAGATCAGGATGTAGGTTAAGACTATTACTGTAGTGAGATCAGGATGTAGCGTAGGTTAAGACTATTACTGTAAGTTAACCTTAGAGCTTCCTACTGGGTCAAGACTGGAAGCTACAGATTAACAATCATGTCAATAGTCTACAGACATTAGGATTGATTATTGATGTCACTTGTTAAATCAGTGTAGATGAAAGGGAGGAGACAGGTTAAATAAGGATTTTTAAGCCATTGAGACAATTGAGACATGAATTGTGTATGTGTGCCATTCAGAGCGTGAATTAGCAACACAAAATATTTAAAAGTGCCTTTGAACAGGGTTTGGTAGTCGGTGCCAGGTGTACCGGTTTGTGTCAAGAACTGCAACGCTGCTGGGTTTTTCACGCTCAACAGTTTCCCCGTGTGTATCAAGAATGGTCCATCACCCAAACGACATCCAGTCAACTTGACACAACTGTGGGAAGCATTGGAGTCAACATGGGCCAGCATCCCTGTGGAACGCTTTCGACACCTTGTAGAGGTTCCTGACCCGACAAACTGAGGCTGTTCTGAGGGCGAAAAGGTGGTGCAACTCAATATTAGGAAGGTAATCCTAACATCTGGTACGCTCAGTGGATACAACCATCAGAATACTCACATGACTGTGTTGTCATCCACTAAGATATCACAACTATGGGCAGGACAGGAGATGGTCTGAAAAGAAGACAATAGTTAAATAGATGGTGACTAAACAATGTGTAATCCGTCACTTTCCATATGATAATGTAGAGCAGGGTTCTTAAATTCCGGTCCTGGAGGGCCGAAACACCTCTGTTTTTCATCCTCTCCTTCTAATCAGGGGCTAATTCAGACCTGGGACACCAGGTGAGTGCAAATAACTACCAGGTAGAAATAAAAAACTGAAGTGTTTCGGCCCTCCAGGATCGGAATTGAAGAACCCTGATGTAGAATGATAATGTAGAATGATTATTATAGAGGATGATAATGTAGGATGCATCAGTACCTGTCCCATCCCCTCCTCCATGATTTTGGTCGTCAGGTAATCTCCCCAGCACTGCATGCAGAACTTGTGTCCACACTCCAGGCCAGTGAAATACTGTGGAAAACAAAACACATTCTTTTAGATTTCAGACACCACCACACCAAAACAGCTGAGCCTCAGGTATCCAATCAGAGATGGGCAATCCTTCCTTTTGATTTCAGACACCACCACACCAAAACAGCTGAGCCTCAGGTATCCAATGTTTGTCACAGCTTCATCTGCGTCCAATAGGGCTCTGGTCAAAAAGGAGTGCACTATACAGGCAACACAACACAGGGACTAGCCTGTCTCTTAATCCAAGTATGAGGGACAGTCACCTAACCAAGTCTCAGAACACGGAGATGGTGTCAATAACTCCTTACGGAATGTGTGTTTTGTGAATCAAGGCTCCCTGGTAAGAGACATTGGTCTCACTGAGAGACTACCCTGAATCAGTAAAGGTGAAATAACGCAGAGCATTACCTAAATAAAAACCACTGTGCTGGACTTACAGCTGACCCCTGACCCTGCAATAAATCAGACTTACGTCACATGATTCAGCTGACCTCTGACCCTACGTCAACACAGACTTACGTCACATGATTAAGCTGACCCCTGACCCTGCAATACAACAGACTTACGTCACATGATTCAGCTGACCTCTGACCCTACGTCAACACAGACTTACGTCACATGATTAAGCTGACCCCTGACCCTGCAATACAACAGACTTACGTCACATGATGCAGCTGACCCCTGACCCTGCAATACATCAACACAACAATTATCTCTTCCCATATAAAAAAAAGTCTAGGACAGCGTCTCAAATGGCACCCTATTCCCCATGTAGTATACTACTTTTGATCAGGGTCCACTGGTAGTAGCGTACTATATAGGGAATAGGGTGCCATTTGGACTGCGGGCCTGTGTCTTGCCTCAGGAGACCAGATGGCTGTTCTATAAACTCCTTCTAGTCTGAAGAACTGATCGGTCCTTAGCTCTATAAGCTGTGTAATATAACGATCATTAGAAACCTTTCCTGGAGATCTAAGATCTACAGTGCTGTAATGCATGTCACGACACATCACAGAGAGTGATCCCTGAAGGAATTGAACCCACAACCTACCTGAGAAACAGAACACTCAAATGTTAAAACACTAACACGAGTGTGTTAATGTTTTTGATCCATTGTATGGAACCGTCGCACAGCGAGCCCAATACATTTTGACCTTTAGCAGACGCTCTTATCCAGAGGAAATTACAGTTAGTATATAGGCTGGTAATACAATTCTAATATATGACTGACTGAGTTTGGGTAGTTCAGATAGTATATAGGCTGGTAATACTGACTGAGTTTGGGTAGTTCAGATAGTATATAGGCTGGTATATGACTGACTGAGTTTGGGTAGTTCAGATAGTATATAGGCTGGTAATATATGACTGACTGAGTTTGGGTAGTTCAGATAGTATATAGGCTGGTAATATATGACTGACTGAGTTTGGGTAGTTCAGATAGTATATAGGCTGGTAATATATGACTGACTGAGTTTGGGTAGTTCAGATAGTAATAGGCTGGTAATATATGACTGACTGAGTTTGGGTAGTTCAGATAGTATATAGGCTGGTAATACTGACTGAGTTTGGGTAGTTCAGATAGTATATAGGCTGGTAATACTGACTGAGTTTGGGTAGTTCAGATAGCAGATAGGCTGGTAATACTGACTGAGTTTGGGTAGTTCAGATAGTATATAGGCTGGTAATACTGACTGAGTTTGGGTAGTTCAGATAGTATATAGGCTGGTAATACTGACTGAGTTTGGGTAGTTCAGATAGTATATAGGCTGGTAATACTGACTGAGTTTGGGTAGTTCAGATAGTATATAGGCTGGTAATACTGACTGAGTTTGGGTAGTTCAGATAGTATATAGGCTGGTAATACTGACTGAGTTTGGGTAGTTCAGATAGTATATAGGCTGGTAATACTGACTGAGTTTGGGTAGTTCAGATAGTATATAGGCTGGTAATACTGACTGAGTTTGGGTAGTTCAGATAGTATATAGGCTGGTAATACTGACTGAGTTTGGGTAGTTCAGATAGTATATAGGCTGGTAATACTGACTGAGTTTGGGTAGTTCAGATAGCAGATAGGCTGGTAATACTGACTGAGTTTGGGTAGTTCAGATAGCAGATAGGCTGGTAATACTGACTGAGTTTGGGTAGTTCAGATAGCAGATAGGCTGGTAATACTGACTGAGTTTGGGTAGTTCAGATAGCAGATCTGACATGGCAGGTCCTGAGCCGAAGATCTGGTGCTCATCAGTCGCGTCCTGGACTTCTTACAGGGGTTGATGACATGGCACTCTGAGAACAGCTTATCCACGTTCCCATCGAAATACCTGCAGAGAGAAGAGAGGGAACAGGATGGAGAGCGTGAGCGAGGGCACTAGAACAGTCTGCAGCACCCGGCCTCACCCTACTAGAATCTGAAGTCAAATGTCTACTGTTTGCTGATGATCTGGTGCTTCTGTCCCCAACCAAGGAGGGCCTACAGCAGCACCTAGATCTTCTGCACAGATTCTGTCAGACCTGGGCCCTGACAGTAAATCTCAGTAAGACAAAAATAATGGTGTTCCAAAAAAATGTCCAGTTGCCAGGACCACAAATACAAATTCCATCTAGACACCGTTGCCCTAGAGCACACAAAAAACTATACATACCTCGGCCTAAACATCAGCGCCACAGGTAACTTCCACAAAGCTGTCAACGATCTGAGAGACAAGGCAAGAAGGGCCTTCTATGCCATCAAAAGGAACATACAATTTGGCATACCAATTAGGATCTGGCTAAAAATACTTGAATAAGTTATAGAACCCATTGCCCTTTATGGTTGTGAGGTCTGGGGTCCGCTCACCAACCAAGAATTCACAAAATGGGACAAACACCAAATTGAGACTCAGCACGCAGAATTCTGCAAAAATATCCTCTGTGTACAACGTAAAACACAAAATAATGCATGCAGAGCAGAATTAGGCCGATACCCGCTAATGATCAAAATCCAGAAAAGAGCCGTTAAATTCTATAACCACTTAAAAGGAAGCGATTCCCAAACCTTCCATAACAAAGCCATCACCTACAGAGAGATGAACCTGGAGAAGAGTCCCCTAAGCAAGATTGTCCTGGGGCTCTGTTCACAAACAGACCACACAGAGCCCCAGGACAACATCACAACTAGACCCAACCAAATCATGAGAAAACAAAAAAGAGAATTACTTGACACATTGGAAAGAATTAACAAAAAAACTGAGGCCTCTGCATTTGGCCCTAAACAGAGAGTACACAGTGGCAGAATAGCTGACCACTGTGACTGACCCACAATTAAGGAAATCTTTGACTACAGTACCAGTCAAAAGTTTGGACCATTTAATTCAAGGGTTTTTCTTAATTTTTTACTATTTTCTACATTGTAGAATAATAGTGAAGATATCAAAACTATGAAACAACACATATGGAATCATGTAGTAACCAAAAATCAAAATATATTTTAGATTCTTCAACGTAGCCACCCATTGCCTTGATGACAGCTTTGCACACTCTTGGCATTCTCTCAACCAGCTTCACCTGGAATGCTTTTCCAACAGTCTTGAAGGAGTTCCCAACATATACTGAGCACCTGTTGGCTGCTTTTCCTTCACTCTGCGGTCCGACTCATCCCAAACCATCTCAATTGGTTAGAGGTCAGGTGATTGTGGAGGCCAGGTCATCTGATGCAGCACTCCATCACTCTCCTTCTTGGTAAAATAGCCCTTACACAGCCTGGAGGTGTGTTGGGTCATTGTCCTGTTGAAAAACAAATGATAGTCCCACTAAGCCCAAACCAGATGGGATGGCGTATCGCTGCAGAATGCTGTGGTAGCCATGCTGGTTAAGTGTGCCTTGAATTCTAAATAAATCACACACAGTGTCACCAGCAAAGCACCCCCACACCATAACACCTCCTCCTCCATGCTTTACGGTGGGAAATACACATGCGGAGATCATCCGTTCACCCTTCCCACATCTCACAAAGACACAGCGGTTGGAACCAAAAATCTAAAATTTGGACTCCAGACCAAAGGACAGCTTTCCACTGGTCTAATGTCCATTGCTCATGTTTCTTGGCCCAAGCAGGTCTCTTATTATTGGTTTCCTTTAGTAGTGGTTTCTTTGCAGCAATTCAACCTTGAAGGCCTGATTCACGCAGTCCCCTCTGAACAGTTGATGTTGAGATGTGTCTGTTCCTTGAACTCTGTGAAGCATTAATTTGGGCTGCAATTTCTGAGGCTGGTAACTCTTATGAACTTATCCTCTGCAGCAGAGGTAACTCTGGGTCTTTCTTTCTTGTGGTGGTCCTCATGAGAGCCAGTTTCATCATAGCGCTTGATCGTTTTTGCGACTGCACTTGAAGAAACTTTCAAAGTTCTTGAATTTTTCCGGATTGACTGACCTTCATGTCTTAAAGTAATGATGGACTGTCGTTTCTCTTTGCTTATTTGAACTGTTCTTGCCATAATATGGACTTGGTCTTTTACCAAATAGGACTATCTTCTGTATACCAACCCTACCTTGTCACAACACAACTGATTGGCTCAAACGCATTAAGAAGGAAATAATTCCACAAATGAACAAGCCACACCTGTTAATTGAAATGCATTCCAGGTGACTACCTCCTGAAGCTGGTTGAGAGAATGCCAAGAGCGTGCAAAGCTGTCATCAAGGCAAAGGGGTGGCTATTTGAAGAAACTCATCTATAAAATATATTTTGAGTAAATGTTTTGGTTACTACATGATTCCATATGTGTTGTTTCATAGTTTTGATGTCTTCACTATTATTCTACAATGTAGAAAATAGTAAAAATAAAGAAAAACCCTTGAATGAGTAGGAGTGTCCAAACTTTTGACTGGTACTGTATGTACAGACTCGCTATTGAGAAAGGCCGCCGTAGGCAGACCTGGCTCTCAAGAGAAGACAGGCTATGTGCACACTGCCCACAAAATGAGGTGGAAACTGAGCTGCACTTCCTAACCTCCTGCCAAATGACCATATTAGAGACAAATATTTCCCTCAGATTACAGATCCACAAAGAATTCGAAAACAAACCCAATTCTGATAAACTCCCTTATCTACTGGGTGAAAAACCACAGTGTGCCATCACAGCTGCAAGATTTGTGACCTGTTGCAACAAGAAAAGGGCAACCAGTGAAGAACAAACACCATTGTAAATACAACCCATATTTATATTTATATATTTTCCCATTTGTACCATTAACTATTTGCACATTGTTACAACACTGTATATATACATAATATGACATGTGTAATGTCTTTATTCTTTTGGAACTTCTGAGTGTAATGTTCACTGTTAATATTTATTGTTTATTTCACTTTTGTTTACTATCTACTTCACTTGCTTTGGTAATGTTAACATACGTTTCCCATGCCAATAAAGCTCTTAAATTGAATTGAATTGAATTGAGAGGGGTAGAGGGAGAGAGAGGGGTAGAGAGAGAGAGAGGGTAGAGAGAGAGAGGAGGGGGGTGGTAGAGAGAGGAGGGAGGGGTAGAGAGAGAGGGGAGGGGTTGGTAGAGAGGGGTAGAGAGAGGGGTGTAGAGAGGGGTTAGAGAGAGGGAGGGGTCTAGGAGAGGGAGGGGGGTTTAGCAGAGAGGGAGGTAGAGGGGGGTAGAGACGAGGGGTGAGAGGGGTTTAGGAGAGAGGGGTTAGAGAGCGGGGAGAGAGAGGGGTAGAGAGAGGGTAGAGAGAGGGAGAGAGAGGGGTGGAGAGAGAGAGGGAGAGAGAGGGAGAGAGAGGGGTATAGAGAGAGGGGTAGAGAGAGGGGTGAGAGTAGGAGAGAGAGGAGAGAGTTAGAGACGGGTAGAGAGAGGAGAGAGGGGGGTTAGAGGGGGAGAGAGGGAGGAGAGAGAGGGGTAGAGAGAGATGGAGAGAGAGAGGGGGTAGAGAGAGGGGTAGAAGATAGAGAGAGGGGTAGAGAGAGGGAGAGAGGAGAGGGGTAGAGAGAGGGGGGGTAAGGGGGGGTAGAGAGGAGCGATAAAAAGAGAGAGAAGAGAGGGGTAGGAAGAGGGGGGTAGAGAGAGGAGGGTTAGAGAGAGAGAGGGGTAGAGAGAGGGAGAGAGCGGGGTAGAGAGAGGGGTTAGAGAGAAGAGAGGGGGTTGAGTAGAGAGAGGGGTTTAGAGCGAGAGCGGGTGGTTAGAGAGAGAGGGGTAGAGAGGAGAGGGTAGAGAGAGGAGAGAGAGAGGGGGGGTTAGAGAGAGAGAGGGGTGGAGAGAGAGAGGGGGTAGAGAGAGGGAGAGTAGAGAGAGGGAGAGGGGCTAGAGAGAGGGAGGGTGGTAGAGAGATCGGTAGAGAGGTAAGAGGAGACGGGTTCGAGAGTTAGAGAGGTTTAGTGCACGTCTGGTTATTTGTATCGAGGGGGTTTTCGACGGAGGGGGTTGGGGTGGAGTTGTCTGCCGATGCGAGAGGGTAGAGAGCGGGGTCGTGTGAGATGGAGAGATGGTGAGAGAGGGGTTAGAGGAAGCAGGTGTAGAGTAGAGGAGGTAGAGAGATGGAGAGCGGTTGTAGCGAGTGTGAGTTTGAGAGGAGGAGAGCGGGTGTATTGTAGAGAGAGAGCGGGTAAGAGAAGAGGTAGGGAGTAGAGCGTGTTTGTAGTAGGTAGGAGCGGTATAGATGAGGCTTAGAGAGGGTTTTAGGAGGTATTTTGAGGGTTTAGGGGTAGGAGTGTAGAGAAGCGGTTAGAGAGGAGAGGTTTTAGAGGGTAGAGTAGAGAGAGAGGGTTAGAAGTAGAGAGGCGGTGAGAGAGAGATGCGGGTAGAGAGAGAGAGCGGTTTCGGTAGAATCTAGAGAGAGGAGCGGTTGGTATTGTGATGCAGGTGGTTTTAGAGGAGAGGAGAGGGTGTTTGAGAGTGGGGGTAGAGGGGTAGACGAGGAGCTGTATTTGAGAGATGGCGTAGAGAGGCGTTGTGTTAGATAGAGAGAGCGAGCGGGGTTCGTTGTAGGAAGCTTAGAGAGTAGTTGAGTGGTAGGTTCGTTAGAGTTAGTAGTTAGGTAGACAGGATGAGCGGTTGGTTAGGGATGACCCGGTTAGAGAGGGAGCGGATTGGTTTAGTGGAGTAGCAGATATGAGAGAGCGGTTGAGAGGTAGAGAGGGCTGTGAGAGGAGAGATGAGCGGTTTTTTTAGAGAGTTGATCGTTAGTTAGTAGTAGGTTTTTAGTAGTAGAGAGAGAGAGAGAGGGGTAGAGAGATTCCTGAAAGGATTCCTACCACAAAAGATTCTTATTCCCAAGGACTATACAGAAAATGCTCTGGCAA